AAAATTGTATTATAATTTTTACTATAATATTTTCTATAATATATTTTACTATAATATTTTACTATAATATTTTCTCTATGTATGTATTAAATCAAGATTCATACACACACACACACACACACACACACACACACACACACACATAAAATGAAACAGAAAATAACTCACTCCTCCCTTAATAAATATCTAATTGCGCAAAATATACTTGAAACAAACGCTGCGAATTAATCTTGCCTTCTGGAGACGAGATCAGACAATGTTCTACACCGATTACACCGCGATGAGATATTTTACTGGCGATGCGTCCAAAGTGCCGTTAATTTGAAAACTGCTAGAGCGTAGTCTAACGCCGCGGGCAGGCTGTCCACGAGATTTGGCAGCTCGCTCAGTTTAAAATGCGAGTATATGTACAGATATTGACAGTATTGCAGAATCAGTATGCTCAGCATGTAAATTGGCCGATAAACTGAGGCGTACCGCACATTCGGCCATGTACCGAGTAATCGGAGGCCAATCTTCAGCAACAGATTCATAGTGCCGGTGACTTGCATTCAAACAGGTTTTCCTCAAACAGGTTTGAGGATACGGGGCGGAATGAAGCTCAAAGTCGGCGCATCTGTCCGACGTGATAAAGTCGAAAGAGCACTGACCGATTCCCAAAATTCATTCCCGTACGGCACTCATTCCCACTACGAGTGACTACCGGGTCAAGCGCTATTACATAGTATAACAATAAGTTGAGATACTACTCATTAAATACTTACGGTTGTCCTGTAATTCTACCGACGGTCTGATAATGTGTATCCCTATCGAGAGAACTAGACGAGCAATTACGCGCTCGAACGAACGTCTCGACGCAGATAATTGCCAGCTCAATTATTCTCTCTCTCTCTCTTTTTTGACGCAAACTCAACACTCCGACAACCCGAGTCCCTCGAGAGATGACGGAGAGGACATTTTTTTCATTTTTTCTATTCGCTCGAAAGTCACCTGACGCACGGCGATCGGTCGTAATTATGTGTATTAGTTATTCTAACTGAGCCGCATTATTTTCATATGCGATTATGAGTCTTGAAAGAAATGAACGGGAGAAAAGCATTGTATTTTCTCTTACCTAGCGGTAACAGCGAATAACGGCGAATAATTTTCATAAATGCTGTGGAGAACGGCGTTTTCCATGGGATGCGCATGTGGCAGCAGTCCCAAAAGTAAAAAAATTCTAATCGATTAGACTCGTCGTAGAAACTTAGTTATAAATGCAGGCAAAAAGTGCAGCCATGCACGAAAAAAAAGGTTGGTTGGACTGAGCAAATTCTGGTAAAATATGAACGAACCAGGAACTCTGATTGCGAAAGATTATTGCGAATGCTACCATTTATGAATTTTCCATAGACGATAAAAATGTTTGTTAAACGACATGATAGAGTAATTAAATTTTTCAATAAAATTCATCAGATTTTTATTATTGTAATTGTTAATGCTCGTTATTTGTAATGTCCCTTAATTATCGTTTACTTTACAGTAACTACCAATTAATCGTAATAGTTAATACTACCGTCACCGCATTAATACGTGATGAGCATTATTAATGATAATTCAATCGTTTTCTGTGTTTTTCATTCAATAAAATAGTCTACTCGTAGTGACATCAATATGCTATTGGTGCACAGAGAGAATGATTTATTGAATCAAATAAATGTTTCTTTGGAATAGTCCAAACAGATTATTTGGTTGACACAACAAAAATATTTCTTTGGAACTAAGCGGCAAATAAATATTTTTGTTGCTTCAAACAAAATTTTGTTCGATTAATCAAAAAATTCGTTTGGATTATTCCAAAGAAATGTTTATTTGATTCAACAAAATCGTTTTCTATGTATGAGAGACTGCTTTTTCTTGCAGCGTCATATTGACGGAAATCTTTATATTTTGCTTCGCCGGAGAACATCTTAGTCTTAAAGTTGGTAAATACTCAGTAATTATAAATAGTGATTATCCATTTTTAAAACGTGATTCTTGCATAATTAGTTACTAGAACTAGCAATTGAAGTTCTTCATATATTTTTTTAAGGCGACAGATTTTACTACAAGGAAAATATTGGACTTTAAAGCAACAAAATCCAATGAATACAGAATGTGAAAGATGACTAACATCTTTTGTCATTGTTAATATATTGAGTTATTGTTTGCTGAATACATTAATCGCCGATGTTGTTTACAATTCGTTATGGTAACATTAACCACAATTTTCTGGTTCATTCATGTTTTATCATAATTTAGTTAATCCAATCAAACATTTTTTCGCGTGGAAACTGCGCATACGCAGAATTCTTATGGAAAACTTATGCGATAAAAGATACATTAGACTGAATTTTAAGGCTATATGCCTTTTTTGAGAATAAGAACATTTTGATATACAAAGTCAATAATTATTGACATCTTAAATATTTTCAAAGCAAAAAACGAAGATAATTTTCAGACTTTCGAAGCTGTTCCTTGAAAAAAAGTTTCTTATGGTTAAGATAAAGATGCCTTAAAATCGTAAATCCCGAAAAAAATCACGTAAAATTAATTAGAAATATGCAATTAATTATTTGATATACAATTCCTTTCTAAATTATCGCTATATATCTTAGTTATGTTACTACAGTAATAGAAGTTTAACCAGCATCAATATATTGCAAGCATGACAGACACATATGACGCTGACGTTTTCATGATCTAAAATAAAGCGAGACAATTTAAAACACACAGACAAATACACGTATCTACTGATACAAGCAATATAAAATATTACACATGCAGTCTATTACAAAAGGAATTCTGTTGGTGACAAGCTTACGGTCGTGAAAGTTTCCAAGGATAAATTCGCGAGTCCACCTGCCGTGAGCGTAATTTCCCTTTGAGATTTCATTATCATTAATGACATCATTCTGCTTTGATTAGGCGGTATATCGTACCATAACGAATCGTAGGCAGCATCGGCGATTGATGTACTCTGGAAACAATATCGAAATATCTTAACGATGATAGTCACCTTCGACATTCTATATTCACTGAATTTCGTTGTTCTAAAGTCCAAGATTTTCCTAATATTACAATCTGTCGTCTTAAAGAAATATATGAAAGACTTCAATTACTAGTTCCAGTAATTAATTATCACATTTTAAAAATGGATAACCATCATTTATAATCGCTGATATTCACCTTAAAACTAAGATATTCCCCGGCGAAGCAAAATATAAAGATTTCCGTGAGTATGACGCTGCAAGAAAAAGCAGCTTTCACCAATAACCCGATACTGGTGTCACCATGAACAGACTGTTTTATTATAGAACAAAAAACACAGAAAACGATTGAATTAAAAGATTGATTTGATTAAGTAATGATCATTGTGTATTAATGCGGTGATGGTGGTACTCACTATTACGATAAGGAATCCGAAGTAAACGATAATCAAGGTATTGCAAATAACGAGCATTAACGTTACAATGGAAGAAATCTGATGAATCTTATCGGAAAATTTGATTACTCTATTATGCCGTTCAACCAGCATTCCTATTCTCCACATGGAAGATTCATAAAAGGTAGCGTCTCCAGAAATCTTTCGCAACTCGTGGCATATGATATCGATTTGTCCGCTTGCATGAAGCACCTAAAATACATCTAAATATCTCTGCAAATATCTCAAGCAGTGTGATAAAAAAAAATTATTCTGAGAACTATCAAATAGAGAGTTAAATTTTTCACAACTCACGCGGATTTCTAAGCTCGTATTAATATTTGAAACTCCTCTCAAGTGAGATACTCAGATTTGAGTTAAGAGTTAGATGAAATTTTTTCAGTTGAGCCACAATTACAGATATAATGTCACATAATGTCAAATAATATATAATTTATTAATAACTAAAAAACTCAGATCTAAATCTGAATAAAAATCTGAATGTCTCAAGTGAGATCAACCTCAAGTAACGACTATTAATATAGTTATATTGTCTAAGGACAATGCTTCCACGTCCAAACACGAGTTGCATAAACCGTTTTTATGTAATTATAGCAGGGTGGTAAATATATAATACTCACCAGGCTAGCAATCAGCGTGTCCAAAGTAGCGATCGTGCACGTATTTGCCATACCGTGTACAAATAATATTATGAAGAGCAGCTCATAGATCGGCGATTGCTCGGCCTGTTCAAAAGGAAATTGTATCTTGACAGGAAAATGCCGTGAGGAAACATTGACGTCCTCCGCCAAATGCAGAAAACGAAACGCGTAATCGCCCAAGAGGTAAAGCACCCCGGCGATCGTAGTTAAGCTGAATACAGTGTTACAGAGTAAATGCGATTTGTCCGCTTTCGTCGCCATCATTCGCAAATGTTGCTCGACGTGCATGGACACGCACCAATCATCGTCCATAGCTGTCAGTACCTGGTAAACTACGCTGGAATGCGTTACTTTAATCGTTCGAATATTATAACCGGAAAGAAAGGAAAAAAAAACACTGCTGCTTCTACGCGAGATTGTGTGCCGTTGCATCGAACCTTTAAATCAAGACAAAATAGCGTTGAACCACACTTCGCTTGACGATATTCGAATGTATAGTCTACATTAAAACTCGCTACGAGAGTTGATCCCGTCTCTTAAAAACTATAGTGAACGATATTCTACGATTGTATTGCGAGGAGAAATCTTACCGACGCCGAATCCAAAGTGCTGTTAATTTAGAAGCCGTTAAAGTGTATTGTATAGCCACGGGCAGACCATCCACGAGATTCGGCAGCTCGCTCAATTTAAAATGAGAGTATATGTACAGATATTGAAAATATTGCAAGATCAGTATGCTCAAGATATAAATTAGTCGATAAACGGAGGCATACCGTACATTCGGCCAGACACCGATGAATTGAAGGCCGATCTTCAGCAGCGGATTTATAGTGCTCATGACTTACATTCATAGACAAATTCGCGAACGTGGAATGATATGAAAGTCAATATTGGTGCGCTTGGTCAATGTATTGTAATAGAACCGAGAGAGCACTGACCGATTCCCGAAGTCCAACCCCTTGTAACACGCGTCCCCACTTGGAGTAACCATCGATCAATCGTCATTATGCGTCGCGCGGTATATCCATGAGATAAAGCTCATTATGTACATATGGACGTTCTATAGTTTCACTGACGATCTGATAAAGCACACTCCGATCGTGAACTAGACAAGAGATTACGGACGTCTCGACATGCGCAATTGTCGGGGTATTTCTTTTACTTTTTTCGCCTATCCACAAGACGCACACGCACATATACACACATACTCTCTCCCTCTCTCCGACAATCCGCTGAAAAATGGTAGAAAGAGAATATGTTTTCACATTATTATTCGTTTAGAAAATCACTTGCACGACGACTTGTTCGGGCGGTTATTCACCAAATAATTATTCATCAAGTATTCCGGCCGAATCGAATTGCGGAGTCTCGGTTACGGATCTCGAAGGAGATAAATGTAGACAAAGAACATTGTCTAGGGGCAAATTGCGAGTAATTCCCTTTAATGAATCACAGAAGGTCATGTTGTGTGCGGCGCGTACGTACGTCTACTTTGAGATTAATCTTGAAAGACGTGTAACAGTGAACTCAGAAATTGCTGAAAATACTGGATACATTTTAAAAGCAGAATCTTGGAGAATAACGTAACGTGAGTAAAAAGAGAAGCAGCTGACTTTCTAGTCTTCAATAATATCAGTTTTTTATGTAACATAATGCGCGTCTTTTAACGGACAATTATAACATGATGGCGTTTTCCTTCGATTTGCTGCACAAACGTATCAGCAAAAACAGAGTTTGTCGAATCGTAAATTCTACTTTTCACTTTTACATTTCCGAAGCGAGCCCAACATCGCTGGAGGGGAGAAGAGCGATTACAGCGAAACAAATTCGTCCAACTAATTGAGAATCATTATCCTTAATCCTTTATATCAGTCATTCTACAAATATATGATTCTTCTATAAATACACATCAACACATTACATATGACTAATAGTTGGATAAGATTCATCGCTGAAAGTAAATCGATTGCAACTTCAAAACATCGCGTGCAATACCGAAATGTAAGATACCGAAGCTTTCATGACCTAAAAACAGTTTATTTAAAGATAAAAGTAATAAGAATTTTCCAGAAGAATATTCTTCGCAATATAATCGTTATTAATATAATGTATATGTTGGCACATTTCGAGTTATATTAAATGCGATATTTATTCGTATCGAATCAAAATACGAATTGTCAAAAGCACATTTCTTACATAACAACACAAATATATTTTTGTATAATTAAAATAATTGCACATATATTATACAGCGTAAAAATCTTACACTTGTGAAGCTGTCCAGAGTCAAATTCATGACGCTTCCAGCAGTAATCGTCAAATGTTTCTGCGATCTGACGATAATTAATAATAGAATTCGACATTCTCTAGTGGACAGATCATACCAAAATGTTTCGTACGCCGCATCGCCAATTGACTTGCTCTAAGAAAAAGAAGAAAGATGTGCATTAAAGTATTATATGAAAGACAGCTGATCACGACAGCTGATTTATTCCATCTTAAAGACTTTTAAAAAAACTTAAAGAGATGTAACTTGCGTGATTAGAATTTTAAAATTTTTAAAAAATTTGTATCCAGTAGAAATATTTCGCGATAGAACATCTTCAAATTTGGGATTCAAACTTAGCAATATAGTTAAGAACTAATGATTAGAGAAATATTAGAAATAGGGAATTTTTAAAAAGCTGCTCAAAGTAAGCTTGTTATTCTAACCTTGGCGCTCAAGTACTCGCTGGCAAAGCAAAAAATGAAAGCTTCTAACATTACCCCGAGATATGAAAAGACGGTTTGTATCAGTATTCCAGATTTCTCCTCCATGTCCATGCCTAAAGACTGGGTAATAATATGTTAAATTACTTTTTAGCGGAATTATGTCATATATGCTTAGTTTGAGAATTCAAATTTTAAACGTATAACGTTAATACGTTGATATTTTAAACGTATAACACATTCGTCTGAAATAATGTTATTACTAAAAACATTACCAGAATATATCAGCAAAATAGCTTGGAAAAATTAATAATTTTAAATAGTTTAGGCCGCGAAACTGAGATATAAATTTGAAACAAAAATACAATAACAAAGACACCCGCATTATATAGAATGCACAATTCCAAGATAGACTTTTCTTTTTTGAAGAACTTCGCTCGCTTCCGCTAAAAGCAGCTTCACTTACTAATACAATCATGTAGCCCATAGTGCAAATCACCACGGTGTTCCATAAGAACTGTATCATAGCGACGAGCGAGAAGAACTTGTCAATATTATTTGAGAAAGAAATAATCCGCTGATGCCTCTCGATAAGCGTTTTAGTAGCTGACGGATGGTACTTTCCCGTCATGGAAATTCCTCTCAACCCTTGGCACATGATATCAATCTGTCCGCTCACATGAAGCACCTCGAAATAGAAACTGCGACGTCTCAAGAAACACTCGCGTGCATTTTCGCGACACGAGCGATTGAAGGACACCGTCGGCGCTCCATTCAATCCGATTTCACTCAATTTTCCAACCGCCCACTACCCTTCAGGAACTCGACGTTCCTGTCACCCGACTTACCAATGCGAAAATCAAAGAGTTCAGCATCGCGATCACCACTGCCGTCTCCCACATATGCAGGAACTGTCCTAGGACGATGAGCTCGAAGATTGGAGAATAGGTGGCGTTGAATGGCAACTGCATCTGCACAGGCAACTCCCGAGGTTCATCTGCGGAAATCGTGCGGTGACTTACGTAATTGCCGACGAAGTAGCACACGGTGCACAGGGTATTGAGTGACATCATGGCGTTGGAGCACCTGTGCGCCAGATTAGCCTTGCTCGTCATCACCCAGGCGTACGAATCCGTAACGCAGTCGTCCTTCCAGTCGTCGTCCATCGCGACCAATATGTTCGAGAATATTCTGCGATCGATCGTTGACCTTCGGTATCGTTTCTCTCTTTCTCTATCTCATTCTCTTTCTTTCTTTCTTCCCCTCTTTCTCTTTCACAAGAAATTCGCGGATCTTACCGGCGATTGTGCCAAAAGCTCAGCAGCTTCATAAACGTCAAAGTGTACTCCAGAGGAACGTTCATGCCGCTCATCAACTTGGAGAAATTGTTCATGCTGAAGTGTGCGTACACGTAGGCGTATTGGTAGTACAGCGTAACAGCGAGAGTGAACATATAAAAGAGCCAGAGGAATGTTGCGCATGAGGTGCCAGGCCACATGCCGATCAAGCTGAGACCGATCTTCAGCGGAGAATTTATGGTGCTAGTCGACATAGCGCGGCTCATGAATTCATCATCGTTACTGCTCAACCTGGCTGGTCAACTGTGCGTGTTGTTGCTTGTTGAAGGAGACGGTTGTCTAACAGCGAAAGCAAGAGGCGTCGTGATCGAAATGTGAAGCGAAAAGACCAGTCTTTTTGTTTTCTCGGCGTAGCGCGGTCCCCACTACCACGCGAAAAGGTAGCAATTACGCCAAGAATATAAAACTACCAGCTGCTAGTACGAGCACCGATCAATCGCAATTATTTATCTAGCCTTGTACGTGGACGTCGGCGCAAGCACCGAGTAAATCGTAACGACAAATGGATTATTACGGAGTTTTCCATTGTACATCGAGAAAAATGAACAGCATCGGTCGGCAACTTTTTATCAGCACGAGAAACGCACGCTAGAACATCTGTTGCAAATAATTTTCTTTACAAATGCACTAACTATTGTTACGCTCTCGTTTATTTAGAGAAGGATATAGCTTTTTATGTGTGGAAGAAGACTGGAACAGGTAGAAAATTATACGTATAATAAACCTGAAAATGAGATTCATGAAAGATACGATGATTCTCTTTCTCTTTTTCTTGCTCCCTCCTATGTCCCTCTTTCTCCCTCTTTCTCTCTCCGACAACTCTAATCCGTGGAAAGACGGCAGAAAGAGAATATTCTTTCGAATTTTTTTATTTGTTGAGAAGAGCACTTGACGCACGACGACTCGGTCGAGCAGGCATAATTATTCATCAAATATTCCGTCCGAACGGGATTAAATTGCGTAGTGTTTCGATCACGAATCTTGAAGGAGATAATGTGGGGAGATAATGTAGAGAACGTTGACTAGGGACGACTTGCATAATGGCAAGTAATTTCCCTTAATGAAATATAGAAGATCACGTCAAGAGATATGAGTACGAATGTCTTTTTTTGTGGTTAATCTTGGAAAGTGTGTAACAGTGAGCTCAGAAATTGCTGAAAATAACGAATACGCTATAAAAGCACCGTATTGGAGGATGATGTAGCGTGAGTTAAAAAAGAAATAAATGGTGACTTTCTAGTCATAAATATCATATTACATAATATAATCCACTTCTAAATAACGGGTAATTCTATTGTTTGATGATTTTTTCTTATTTATTTTCTTATTTATTTGTTACAAATATGTGCTGCACATATGTGTGAACAAACAGGATTTGTTGAATCGTAAATTCTGTCTTTCACTTTCACATTTCCGAAGCAAGCTTACTGTAACATGTAATTGTAAGTAAGTAACATCACTGGTGGGAGTTTATAGCGAAACGAGTTTGTCCAACAGATTGAATACTATTCTCATTCCTTTTTTATCGTTTTACAAATATACGATATTTTCTACAAACGCACATCAATATGTTACATATGACTAATCATTAGATGAGATTTATTGTTCAAAGTAAATCGATTGCAAATTCAAAACATCGCATGCAATACCGAAATGTAAGATGCCGAAGCTTTCATGACCTAAAAACAATTTAGCTTAGAAAGAAGAGAAATAACGATAAGAATTTGCCAAAGAAATATTCTACGATATCTAAACGTTATTAATACAACGTATACGTTGCTACATTTTGAATAATGTTAAACTGCGGTATTTATTCGTATACAAATACGAATTGTCAAAAGCACATTTCTTACATAACAACAGATATATTTTTATACTTAAAATTTTTATAATTAAAATAATCACACATCTATTATGTAGCATAAAAATCTTACACTTGTAAAGCTATTCAGAGTCAAATTCATAACGCTTCCAGCAGTAATCGTCAAATGTTTCTGCGACCTGACGATAATTAATAATAGAATTCGACATTCTCTAGTGGACAGATTGTACCAAAATGTTTCGTACGCCGCATCGCCAATAGATTTGCTCTAAGCAAAAGAGAAAAAAAGTATATTAAGTATTGTATTGAAAGACAATCACGACGACTGATTTACTCTACCATAAATACGTTTAAAAAAATTTAAAGTGATGAATCTTGCGGGATTAGATTATTAAAATTTAAACAAAATTTGTATCCAGTAGAAATACATCGCGATAGAACATCTTCAAATTTGGGATTCAAAATTAGCAATATAGTTAAGAACTAATGATTAGAGAAATATTAGAAAGTGAGACTTTTTAAAAAGATGCTCAAAGTAAGCTTGTTGTGCTGACCTTAGCGCTCAAGTACTCGCTGGCGAAGCAGAAAATGAAAGCTTCTGACATTACCGCGAGATACGCAAAGACAGTTTGTATCAGTATTCCAGATTTCTCCCCCATGCGCATGCCTAAAGACTGTGTAATAATATGTTCAATTACTTTTTAACGAAGTTATGTCATATATATTTAGCTTTGAGAATTCAAGTATTAAACGTAAGTAAGTAAGTAAGTAGTATAACGCTGAATAATACATTTGTCTGAAATGATGTTATTATTAAAAATATTACCGGGGTACATTAACAAAATTGCTTGGAAAAATTAATTGTTTTAAGTCGTTTTATATTATTGTTTGACACAATTTAAACCGCGAAATTAAAACAAAAATGCAATAATAAAAACACCTGCATTCCATAGAATGCACAATTTTAAGACAGTTTCTTCTTCTTTGAGGAACTTTGCTCGCTCTCACTGAGAGCGGCTTCACTTACTAGTACAATCATGTAGCCTATAGCGCAAATCACCACGCTGTTCCATAAGAACTGTATCATAGCGACGAGCGAAAAGAACTTATCAACATTATTTGAGAAAGATATAATTCGCTGATGCCTCTCGATAAGCGCTCTAGTGGTTGACGGATGATACTTTTCCGTCACGGAAATTCCTCTCAACCCTTGGCACATGATATCAATCTGTCCGCTCACGTGAAGTACCTCGAAATAGAAACTGCGACGTCTCAAAAAACACTCACGTGAATTTGCACGACTTAATTGATTGAAGGACACCGTCGGCGCTTTATTCAATCCGATTTCACCTAATTCACTAAAACCCACAACCCTTCAGGAACTCGGCGTTCCCGTCTCCCGACTTACCAATGCAAAAATCAAAGAATTCAACATTGCGATCACTACTGACGTCTCCCACATATGCAGGAACTGTCCTAGGACGATTAGCTCGAAGATTGGAGAATTGGTGGCATTGAATGGCAACTGCATCTGCACAGGGAACTCCCGAGGTTCATCTGCAGAATTTGCGCGCTGACTTACGTAATTGCCGAGGAAGTAGAACACGGTGCCTAAGGTATTGAGTGACATCATGGCGTTGGAACACCTATGCGCCAGATTGGCCTTGCTCGTCATCACCAAGGCATATGAATCCGTAATGCAATCGTCCTTCCAGTCATCGTCCATCGCGACTAATATGTTCGAGAATATTCTGCGATTGATCGTTCGGTTTCTCTCTTTATTTATCTCAGTCTCTTTCTTTCTATCTTCTCCTCTTTCTTTCCCTTTCACAAGAAAGTCGCAGAACTTACCGGCGGTTGTGCCGAAAGCTCAGCAGCTTCATGAACGTCATAGTGTACTCCAGAGGGATGTTCATGCCGCTCATCAATTTGGAAAAGTTGTTCATGCTGAAGTGTGTATATATGTAGGCGTATTGGTAGTACTGCGTGATAGCGAGAGTGAACATATAAAAGAGCCAGAAAAATGTTGCGCATGAGGTGCCAGGCCACATGCCGATCAAGCTGAGACCGATCTTCAGCGGAGAACTAATGGTACTAGTCGACATAGCGAACTCATGGATTCATCATCGTTACTGGTCAACCTGGCTGGTCAAATGTACCTGTCGTTTCCGAACGAGATGGTTGTTTAACAGCTATCGAAAGCAAGAGACGTCGTGACTGAACTGTGAAGCGAAAAGACTTTTTGTTCTCTCGGTGTAACACACAGCGCAGTCCCCACTACCACGCGAAGAGGTAGCAATTACGCCAAGAGTATAAAACTACCAGCCAGTAGTAGGAGCACCGATCAATTGCAATTATTTATCTAGCTTTGTACGTGGACGTCGGCGCAAGCACCGACTAAATCCTAACGACAAATGGATAATTACGGAGTTTTCCGTCGCATATCGAGAAAAATGAACAGCATTGGTGGGCAACTTTTTATTAACACGAAAAGCGCATGCTAGAACAACTGTTGCAGATAATTTTCTTTTCAAATGCATTAATTATTGCTACGGTCTCGTCGATTTAGAGCAAGGCATAACTTTGTTACGCGTGGAAGAAGATGAGAATGGGTGGAAAATTATACGTATAATAGACATGAAAATGAGATTCATGAAAACTACGACGATCCTCCTTCTATTTCTTTTACTGCCTTCTAATTCCCTCTTCCTCTCTCTTTCTCTCTCTCTCACAATTCGAATCTGTGGAAAGACGGCAGAAAGAGAATATTCTTTCAAATTTTTTTATTCGTTGAGAAGAGCACTTGACGCACAACGATTCGGTCGGGCGGTCATAATTATTCATCAAATATTCCATCCGAGCGGGATCAAATTGCGTAGAGTTTCGATCAGGAATCTTGAAAGAGATAATGTGGGCAGAGAACGTTGCCAGTGACGACTTGCGTAATGGCGAGTAATTCCCTTTAATGAATCACAGAATATTACGTTATGAGACATGAGTACGTATGTTTTCGTTGTGGTTAATCTTGGAAAGTATGTAACTGTGAGCGCAAAAACTGCGAAAAATAACAAATATGTTATCAAAGCACCGTTCTGAAAGGTGATGTAGCGTGAGTAAAAAAATAAATACATGGTGACTTTCTAGTTATGAATACTATGAGTTTTTTTACACAATATAATTTTAAATAACGGATAATTCTATTTTTTGATGTCGTATTCTTTATTTATTACACAAATATGTGCTGCACACATGTGTGAACAAACAGGATTTGTCGAGTCGTATATTCTGTCTTTCACTCTCACATTCCCGAAGCAAGCTTACTGTAACATATGACTGTAAATACAATTAATGATGAAGTTTATAGCGAAACGAGTTTGTCTAACAAATTGAATATTATTCTGATTCCTTTTCATCATTCTACAAATACACGATATCTTCTATAAATGCACATCAATACATTACATGTGACTAATCGTCGGATGAGATTCATTGCTGAAAGTAAATCGATTGCGGATTCAAAACATCGCATGCAATAGCGAAATGTAAGATGCCGAAGCTTTCATGATCTAAAAATAGTTTGTTTAGAAATAAGAGAAATAACGATAAGAATTTGTCAAAAAAATATTCTCCGTAATCTGAACATTATTAATAGTATACGTTGTCACATTTAGAATAACGTTAAACTGTGATATTTGTTCGTATACAAAATACGAATTGTCAAAAGCACATTTCTTACGTAACAACACAAATACATTTTTATACAATTAAAACAATCACACATCTATTATGTAATATAAAAATCTTACGCTTGTAAAACTATTTAGAGTCAAACTCATGACGCTCCCAGCAGTAATCGTCAAATATTTCTGCGACCTGACGATAATTAATAACAGAATTCGGCATTCTCTAGTGGACAAATCGTACCAAAATGTTTCGTACGCCGTATCGCCAATGGACTTGCTCTAAAAAAGAGATAAATGCTGTGCATTAAAGTATTATATGAAAGACAATTACGGCGACTGATTTACTCTATCTTAAATATTCTTAAAAAAATTTAAAGCGATGTATCTTGCGTAATTACATTATTAAAATTAAAAAAAATTTGTATCCAGTAGAAATACTACCCGATAAAAAATCTTCAAATCTGGGATTCAAAATTAGCAATATAGTTAAGAACTAATAATTAGAGAAATCTTAGAAAGTAAAAATTTTTTAAAAGCTGCTCAAAGTAAGCTTGTTGTGCTAACCTTAGCGCTCAAGTACTCGCTGGCGAAGCAGAAAATGAAAGCTTCTAATAATACTGAGAGGTACGCAAGGACGGTTTGCATCAGTATCCCAGATTTCTCCTCCATGCCCATGCCTAAAGACTGTGTAATAATACGTTAAATTATATTTTAGCGGGACTATGTCATATATGCTTAGCTTTGAGCATTCAAGTATTAAACGTATAATGCTGAATAACACATTCGTCTGAAATGGTGTTATTATAAAAAACATTACCAAGGTACATCAGCAAGGTACATCAGCAAAATTGCTTGGAAAAATTGTTTTAAATCGTTTTATATTATCGTTTGATATAGTTTAGGCCGCGAAATTAAAACAAAAATGCAATAATAAAAACACCTGCATTCCATAGAATGCATAATTTTAAGACGCATTTTTCTTCTTTGAGGAACTTTGCTCACTCCCGCTGGAGACGGCTTCACTTACTAGTACAATCATGTAGCCTATAGCGGAAATCACCATGCTGTTCCATAAGAACTGTATCATAGCGACGAGCGAGAAGTACTTGTCGATATTATTTGAGAAAGATATAATCCGCTGATGCCTCTCGATAAGCGCTCTAGTGGTTGACGGATGATACTTTTCCGTCACGGAAATTCCTTTCAATCCTTGGCACATAATATCAATTTGTCCGCTCACGTGAAGTATCTTGAAATAGAAACTGCGACGTCTCAAGAAACACTCACGTGAATTTTCACGACTTGATCGATTGAAGGACATCGTCGGCATTGCATTCAATCCGATTTCATCTAATTCGCAACCACCCATCATCCTTCAGGAACTCGGCGTTCCCGTCATCCGACTTACCAATGCAAAAAGCAAAGAGTTCAGCATTGCCATCACCACTGCCGTCTCGCACATATGCAGGAACTGTCCTAGGACGATGAGCTCAAAGATTGGAGAACTGGTGGCGTTAAATGGTAACTGCATCTGCACAGGGAACTCCCGAAATTCACCTGCGGAAATTGCGCGCTGACTTACGTAATTGCCGAGGAAGTATAACACGGTGCCTATGGTATTGAGTGTCATCATGGCGTTGGAGCACCTGTGTGCCAGATTGGCATTACTCGTCATCACCAAGGCGTATGAATCCGTAACGCAGTCGTCCTCCCAGTCGTCGTCCATCGCGACCAATATGTTCGAGAATATTCTGCGATCGATTGTTCAGTATTGTTTCTCTCTTTCTCTAACTCATTCTCTTCCTTTCTTTTTCCTTTCTTTCTTTTCTTTCCACAAGAAAGTCGCAGATCTTACCGACGATTGTGCCATAAGCTCAGCAGTTTCATGAACGTCAAAGAGTACTCCAGAGGAACGCTCATGCCGCTCATCAACTTGGAAAAGTTGTTCATGCTGAAGTGTGTGTATATGTAGGCGTATTGGTAGTACTGCATGATAGCGAGAGTGAACATATAAAAGAGCCAGAGGAATGTTGCGCACGAGGTGCCAGGCCACATGCCGATCAAGCTGAGACAGATCTTCATCGGAAAACTTATGGTGCTAGTCGACATAGTGCGACTCATGGATTCATCATAATTACTGCTCAAACTGGCTGGTTAAATGTGCCTATCGTTTCCGAACGATACAGTTGTCCAACAGCTATCGAAAGCAAGAGGCGTCGTGATTGAACTGTGAAGCGAAAAGACTTTTTGTTCTCTCGGTGTAGCACACAGCGCGGTCCCCACTACCACGCGAAGAGATAGCAATTACGCCAAGAGTATAAAACTACCAGCCAGTAGTAGGAGCACCGATCAATCGCAATTATTTATCTAGCCTTGTACGTGGACGTCGGCGCAAGCACCGAGTAAATCGTAACGACAAATGGATAATTAGAAAGTTTTCCATCGCATATCGAAAAAAATGAACAGCATCGGTGAGCAACTTTTTATTATGACGAGAAGCGCACGCTATAACAGCTGTTGCAGGTAATTTTCTTTTCAAATGCATTAATTATTGCTATGGTCTCGTCAATTTAGAGAAGGGCATAGCATTGTTACGCGTAGAAGAAGATGGGAATAGGTAGAAAATTATACGTATAATAGGTTTGAAAATGAGATTCATGAAAAGTACGATGACCCTCCTTCTCTTTCTCTTACTCCCTCCTCTTTCTCTCTTCCTCTTTCTTTCTCTCTCTGACAATTCGAATCAGTAGATAGACGGCAAAAACAGAATATTCTTTCGAATTTTTTTATTCGTTGAGAAGAGCAACGCATTTGACGCACGACGACTCGGTCGGGCGGTCATAATTATTCATCAAGTATTCCGAACGAAATCAAATTGGGTAGAGTTTCGATCAGGAATCTTGAAAGAGATAATGTGGGCAGAGAACATTGACTAGGGGCGACCTGCATAATGGCGAGTAATTACCTTTAATAAATCACAGAAAATGACGTTATAAAACATGAGTACGTATGTTTTCTTTGTAGTTAATTTTGGAAAGTGTGTAACGGTGAGCTCAGAAATTGCTGAGAATAACAAATACGCTATAAAAGCACTGTTCTGGAGCATGATATAGCGTGAGTAAAAAAATGAATACATTGTGACTTTCGAGTTATGAATACTATGAGTTTTTTTACACCATATACTTTTAAATAACGGATAGTTCTATTTTTTGATGCCGTATTCTTTATTTGTTACATACATGTGTGCTGCACACATGTGTGAAACAGGATTTGTCGAATCGTAAATTTTATCTTTCATTTTCGCATGTCCGAAGGAAGCTCACTGTAACATGTAATTGTAAGTAAATAACATCTCTGATGGGAGTTTATAGTAAAACGAGTTTGTCCAACAGATTGAATACTATCCTTATTCCATTTTATCGTTCTACAACTATATGATATTTTCTACAAATGCATATCAATATGTTACATATTACTAATCGTTAGATGAGGTTCATTGTTGAAAGTAAACCGATTGCGGATTCAAAACATAGCATGCAATATCGAAATGTAAGATGCCGAAGCTTTCATGACCTAAAAACAGTTTTGCTTAGAAATAAGAGTAATAACAATAACAACTTGCCAAAAAAATATTCTCCGTAATCTGAACATTATTAATAGTATGCGTTGTCACATTTTGAATAACGTCAACTATGATATTTATTCGTATACAAATACGAATTGTCAAAAGCACATTTCTTACGGATCAACACAAATATATTTGTATATAATTAAAATAATCACATATCTATTATGTAGTATAAAAATCTTACGCTTGTAAAACTATTTAGAGTCAAAGTCATGACGCTTCCAGCAGTAATCGTCAAATATTTCTGCGACCTGACGATAATTAATAACAGAATTCGGCATTCTCTTGTGGTCAAATCGTACCAAAATGTTTCATACGCCGCATCGCCAATAGACTTGCTCTAAGAAAAAGAAGAAAGATGGTAGAAATACTACGCGATAGAAAATCTTCAAAATTTGGAACTTAAAATTAGGAATAAAGTTAAGAAATAATGATTAAAGAAATATTAGAAATTGAGAACTCGTAATGAGCTCGAAGTAAGCGTGTCGTGCTAACCTTAGCGCTCAAGTACTCGCTGGCGAAACAGAAAATGAAAGGTTCTAACATTACTGCGAAATACGCAAGGACGGTTTGTATCAGTATTCCAGATTTCCCCTCCATGTCCGTACCTAGAGACTGTGTAATAAATTATTTTTTAGAAGAATTAGGTCATATATATGCTTAGCTTTGTGAATTCAAGTATTAAACGTATAATGCTGAATAACACATTCATCTGAAATGGTGTTATTATTAAAAACACTACCAGGGTACTTCAGCAAAATTGCTTGGAAAAATTGTTTTAAATCGTTTTATATTATCGTTTTATATAGTTTAGGCCGCGAAATTAAAACAAAAATGCAATAATAAAAACACCTGCATTCCATAGAATGCATAATTTTAAGACGCATTTTTCTTCTTTGAGGAACTTTGCTCACTCCCGCTGGAGACGGCTTCACTTACTAGTACAATCATGTAGCCTATAGCGGAAATCACCATGCTGTTCCATAAGAACTGTATCATAGCGACGAGCGAGAAGTACTTGTCGATATTATTTGAGAAAGTTATAATCCGCTGATGCCTCTCGATAAGCGCTCTAGTGGTTGACGGATGATACTTTCCCGTCACGGAAATTCCTTTCAATCCTTGGCACATAATATCAATTTGTCCGCTCACGTGAAGTATCTTGAAATAGAAACTGCGACGTCTCAAGAAACACTCGCGTGAATTTTCACGACTTGATCGATTGAAGGACATCGTCGGCATTGCATTCAATCCGATTTCACCTAATTCGCAACCACCCATCATCCTTCAGGAACTCGGCGTTCCCGTCATCCGACTTACCAATGCAAAAAGCAAAGAGTTCAGCATTGCCATCACCACTGCCGTCTCGCACATATGCAGGAACTGTCCTAGGACGATGAGCTCAAAGATTGGAGAACTGGTGGCGTTAAATGGTAACTGCATCTGCACAGGGAACTCCCGAAATTCACCTGCGGAAATTGCGCGCTGACTTACGTAATTGCCGAGGAAGTATAACACGGTGCCTATGGTATTGAGTGTCATCATGGCGTTGGAGCACCTGTGCGCCAGATTGGCATTACTCGTCATCACCAAGGCGTATGAATCCATAACGCAGTCGTCCTTCCAGTCGTCGTCCATCGCAACCAATATGTTCGAGAATATTCTGTGATCGATTGTTCGGTATTGTTTCTCTCTTTCTCTATCTCATTCTCTTTCTTTCTTTCTTCCTCTCTTTCTTTCCTTTTCACAAGAAAGTCGCAGATCTTACCGGCGTTTAGGCCATAAGCTCAGCAGTTTCATAAACGTCAAAGAGTACTCCAGAGGAACGTTCATGCCGCTCATCAACTTGGAAAAGTTGTTCATGCTAAAGTGTGTGTATATGTAGGCGTATTGGTAGTACTGCATGATAACGAGAGTGATCATATGAAAGAGCCAGAGGAATGTTGCGCATGAGCTGCCAGGCCACATGCCAATCAAGCTGAGGCCGATCTTCAGCGGAGAACTTATGGTGCTAATCGGCATAGCCCGGCTCATGAATTCATCGTTAACCTGGCTCAATCTGACTGGAGATCTGTTCGTGTTGTTGCTTTCGAACGTGACGGTTGTCTAACAGCTATCGAAAGCAAGAGGCGTCGTGATCGAACTGTGAAGTGAAAAGACTTTTTGTTCTCTCGGTGTAGCACACAGCGCGGTCCCCACTACCACGCGAAGAGGTAGCAATTACGCCAAGAGTATAAAACTACCAGCCAGTAGTAGGAGCACCGATCAATCGCAATTATTTATCTAACTTTGTACGTGGACGTCGGCGCAAGCACCGACTAAATCGTAACGACAAATGGATAATTACGGAGTTTTCCATCGCATATAGAGAAAAATGGACAGCATCTGTCCGCAATTTTTTATTATCGCGAGAAGTGGACGCTGAAACAACTGTTGCAGATAATTTTCTTTAAAAATGCATTAATCATTGTTACTATCTCGTCAATTTAGAAAAGGTCATAGCTTTATTACACGTGGAAGAAGATGGGAACATGTAGAAAATTATACGTATAACAGATCTGAAAATGAGATTCATGAAAGATTCGACGACTTTCTCTCTCTCTCTCTCTCTCTCTCTCTCTCTCTCTCTCTCTCTCTCTCTCTCTCTCTCT